AGGCGGGACTAGAACTCACCATCTCCTGGTGATTGGCTCAAAGTCACCCAGCTGATTTTGAGACTCAAACTCACTCTCACTTTCAAGCTTGGTGACCTAACCACTAGACCAAGAGTCTTCAGACTTGACAGCTTTAAGACTTGTGGACTTCAACTCCCAGAATTCCTGAGCTAACATGACTGGAGGAGGAATTCTGGGAGTTGAAGTCCACAAGTCTTAAAGCTGTCAAGTTTGAAGACCCCTGCACTAGACCAAACTGATAATTGCTCTTTCCTTCCCTCATGAACTATTATCTATTATAATATACCTTCAAGTCTACCTTTCCCCACCAAGACTTGATTCTGATCACGAATTGAAAAGATCCTGAATTGAAAAGGTCACCTTTCCCCTCCCTTCCATCTGTCTCTACTCTCTTTTTTCGAATAACAGAATAACATCATTGGAAGGGACCTTGTGGGTCATCCAGTCCAAACCTCCCCCCACCGCTTTGTTATCGAACGATGGTTTCTAGAAGTGAAAATAAAAAGGATTGCTTTCAAAGATCAAAGAATGGATATCGATAAAGGAGAATATTTATAGCTCGAGGAACGGATGTTCCCAGTATTTCTACTCAGCCTCTGATGGATCCTACAAAACTCGGACAAAAACCAAGAATCCCAAATGGGATTTAAGTAGAAATGCACCTCTTTTTAGCATTCAACTGCTGGTGCTTCCTATGACTTAATGCTTACTGTCAGCACATATATTTGGAATAGTCGAGTGCCTTCCTTTTTAATTTACTGTCCGTTCTTCCCTGAACAACATATTCAAAGTCACAAAGATCCTCCATGAAAAAGGACACGTGCTCTCTGACCTGGCTGGTTCTCTTGTTACAGGGGCTATTAGCATGCTTCTATATGCTTTGTTCAGCCACAACAAGAGATAATGGGCTTGCTGCCAACCCAAGGCACACTTACTGAAAACAAGGACTCCTGCCTACGTTGCCCTATCGCTGAAGGACTGTGTATCCCAGGGGAAGGAGGGTGTGGAGGGATAATGAATAGCTTTCTTCTGACAACAACACACTCATGTTGCAGCCCAGGCCTGCAGCAGACAGCCTGGTTTCCAAATGCAAAAAAAAAAAAAGAGAACCTTTTTTAAAAAGTGTGTGTTGTGTTTCTTTTCCTGCTATATGACCATCACAACCCTGGCATTTGCTCCACACAGACCGACAAGAGTGTCAAAACTTTATTCCTTGGATTGGCAGCCCAGATGTTCCTTCTATTTACAGCAATGAAGTTTGTGGGCAGAACTTCATGTATATTCGCAGGACGCAACCTGAAACAACGGAAGTGATTTTCGCCTGAAAGGAAACGCTCAGTTTTCAAAGCGAACAGCAGCAGAGAAATCAAAGAAATCCTTTCAAAAGGAAATTCCTAGCACAAGCACTCAAAAGATACCACATAGCCATTCTGAACAGGTCTGTGGGCATACAGGTTTTCTTAACTTGACAACAGTTCATTCAGTGACCAAAGTTACGACACTACTGGGAAAAAAAAACATGACCATTTTTTACACTTAATGACCACTGCAAACACCCCCATGGTCAGACCTGGGATCGTGTGATGACTTTTTGTGACCTTCTGACAAGCAATGTCGATGGAGAAACCAGATTCACTTAACAAAAGTGTTACTAACTTAACAACTGCAGTCATTCACATCAGTGGAAACCTTAAGAAAGGTCGGAAAACGAGGCAAAATTCAGTTAAATAACTGCCTCTCTTAGCCAGATAAATTTTGGGCTCAGTTGTGATTGTAAGTCAAGGATTACTTGTACAGGAATGCACCTTATTGGGCATTGTGAGAAAACGTATAATCTTCAAATGCCCTGTAAAATTGCAGGTTTTTTTTTAAGAAATGGCAGAGAAACACAGCACCACAAGACAAAATCTGCAAAAGTTGCAAGACTGTACAACAGCAGCTTCTACCGGGACAAACAGCCAGAAGGACTTTTAAGGATTAAAAACCAGGATAAATATTTACCTATCTCCAGTATGCGAGTTGGGGTGGTGGTGGTATTATGAATACAGGGGCAGAAAGCCAATCCTTTCTCCATAAGGCAAGCAACACATCGCCAAGAAACTAAGGCCAAGGCCTACTTACGAGGAGCCTCTGTGGCGCAGTGGTTAGAGTGCAGTACTGCAAGCTACTTCTGTAGCCAGCTGCCTACAATTTGGCAGTTCAAATCCCACCAGGCTCAAGGCTGACTCGGCCTTCCATCCTTCCGAGGTGGGTAAAATGAGGACCCAGATTGTTGGGGGAGATATGCTGACTCTGTAAACCGCTTAGAGAGGGCTGTAAAGCACTATAAAGCGGTATATAAGTCTAAGTGCTATTGCTACTTCAAGAAAGATAAATGGGACAATAATTTTGGTATGTGTGCTTGATGTTGCTCTACACTACCGAAATGGGTGTTAGCCAGACTTCCCCAGTCTCCAACTATGTGGGAACAGCTCCCAGACTCCTCAGCAAAGGCCGGTTGCCAAATTCCACACATCTGGAGAGGCTCTCAGGTTGATAAACATCTGTTTATCAACATTTTGATATTTATTTTGGCAAAGAAATGCCAAAGTCCCATTCACTGCCAGCCATTTATTAGCCCAATAAAAGAAGCTTGCTTTGATGGAAGATGTTACACAGAAAAACAACCCAACCAGCCGTCAAACTTTATACCAAAAGGGCTGCAAGGCAAGCCACAAAAAAAAAAACCCCAGCAGGGCTATTATTTCCAGATGAATCTTTTCAAGTGCCCTTTGAAGGGTTCACCAGGGTGAGGGAAGATTTCCAAATATGGGGGCTACTCCCCCCACAGTCAGTATGGCAAGCTAGGCACTGTGGGAATCCCTAGTAGGGAATCCACCCCTCCCATGATGCACAGCCAGAATAGCAAGCTGGGCTCTATGGGAATCCTTGGCAGGGAATCCCACCCTCCCATGATGCACAGTCAGAATGGGAAGCTGGGCACTGTGGGAATCCCTAGCAGGGAATCCCTTCCCCATAATGCACAGCCAATATGGGAGTCTGGGGCACTAAAGGAATCCCTAGCAGGGAATCCTTCCACCCATGGTGCACAGCCAGTGTGGCATGCAGGACAACATGGGATTCCCCAGCAGACCAGAGGCTCTTCTGCTTCCTGGCCTTGGGCCCAGCACCCCTCTGGAGTGCATCTCCCTTCCTAGCATGCCCACCGACCCTGGCCATGGATGATGGGTCCTGTGGTCCAATCAAGCGCCAGAGCGGTTCTACCCCCTCCCCTCCCGGAGGAAAAGGGAAGAGAGGGCTCACCTCGCAGAAGCTGGGGCAGGAGGGGAGGGGGAGGCTGTTGCTAGGGGGGCAGAAAGGGGAGGGGCCTGGCTGCCAGGAGCGAGGGGGGCTCTCCCCCCCCCCCCGGCCTGCCATCACTTGAGGACGGAGGGAGCCCCGAGGAACAACAGCCGGCGCAGCTCTACCTGTTCCTCCAGCGCCACAGCCACCTCCGCCGGCCCTCCGAGCCGCCAACTCTCCCCCCGCCCAGCCACACGCCGAGTCCCACGGCTGTAAACAGAAGCCCAGCTGGCCAACAGCCCCCTCAGGGCAAGCGCTACTGCGCAGGCGCTGCCTGACGTCACACGCTGGACGAGGCAGGAGGGAGGGGGGGAGGGAGAGAGAGAGAGAGAGAGAGAGAGAGGCAGCGAGGGAACATACCATGCAGGCCGAAAGGGAAGGGGGGCGAAGAGAAGGGTCCACCGTGGTCTTCCGCGGGGGTGTCTGTGCGACCACATTTTTAGCAGGGAAAGTGGGGGGAGCGTCTGGATGCCAAGTGGGAAGAAGGCTGTGGCTAGGATTGATGAATAAATAAGAACAATTACTCTCAGTCTTCCAATACTTGAGGGGCTGCCACAGAGAGGGGGGGGGGGGGGCGGGTCAAGCCACTTCCAAAGCACCTGAAGGCCAGACAAGGAACAATGGATGGAAACTGATCAAGGAGAGAAGCAACCTGGAATTAAGGAGAAATTTATTGACAGTGACGACAATTATTCGGTGGAACAACTTGCCTCCAGAGGTTATGGATGCTCCAACACTGGAAGTTCACAAGAAGAGTTCTCCACTCTTCTACTCGTTGTAGAATACCTTATGCCACCAGACTTGAAATTCTAAAACTAGAAAACCTTGAATTACGCCGTCTTCGGTCTGACTTAAGCATGGTATATAAAATCATACATTGCAATGTCCTACCTGTCAATGAATACTTCAGCTTCAACCATAACAACACAAGAGCACACAATAGATACAAACTCAAAGTAAACCGCACCAAACTTGATTGCAGGAAATACGACTTCAGCAATAGAGTGGTCAATGTCTGGAATACTCTACCCGACTCTATAGTCTCTTCCCCAAACCCCAAAAACTTTAACCTTAGACTGTCTACTATTGACCTCACCCCTTTCCTAAGAGGTCTGTAGGGGGCGTGCATAAGCGCACCATCGTGCCTACCGTCCCTGTCCTATTGTTTCTCTTATTCTTTTATTTTTCTTATATGTACCCTTTTCATGTATTCACAACTATGTATACACTTATACTTATTATCTTGTAAACAATTGGCAAATTAAATAAATAAATAAATAAATAAAGTTTTTAAGAAGAGATTGGATAACCATGTGTCTGAAATAATAGTTTCCTGCCTAAGCAGGGGGTTGGACTAGAAGACCTCCAAGATCCCTTCCAACTCTGTTATTCTATTCTAAACGCTGTATTCTATCTCTCCTCTGCTCCCTTTCATTGTTCAGTCCCTGGAGATCTGCAATACTTCACACCTCTTTTCTAAAGATTAGAGATGAATGAACAGCTCCACAAACGTCATTGCCTTGGCAGTTGTTCTGACAAACAAAAGATCAATTATAAAGTTCCCATTTCTTGGTGTTTGTTTTAAAAACAATGGATTATTGAGGATTTGAAGAGGCTGGAAGGATGTTTATGATAACCTGGCAGCATGGCGTGCTGGCAGCATGGCTTCAGGCTTTTATTCCTGAGTTCACTACAGGTAGTCCTCGACTTACAACCACAGACGGGAGCAGAAGTTCTGTTGTTAACCAAGGCAGCTGCAGGTAACCCTCAATTTACAATAGTTTGTTTAGTGACCGAAGTTACAACAGCACTGAAAAAGTGACACGACTTTTTCACACAACCATTGCAGCCTCTTCAGGGACACGTGGTCAAAATTCAGACGCTTGGCAACTGACTCATATTTATGACAGTGGCAATGTCCTGGGGTCCTGTGATCACATTTTGTGACCTTCTAATAAGCAAACTCAATGGGGAAGCCAGATTCACTTAACAACCATGTTACTAATTAAACAACTGCAGTGATTCACTGAACAAGCGTGGCAAGAAGGGTCATAAAACGAGGCAAAACTCACTCAGCAAATATTCTCACTTAACAACAGACATTTTGGGCTCGGGGTCGTACGTTGAGGACTCCCTGTATTAAGTCACACACACTTCTGAGAGCTGCATGCAATGAAATTTCATTTCAATGTATGTGAATTAGTGTACATTCAAAGGGACAGTAAAGTTATTCTAGGTCATGTGCGAGTAGGCGGCAATATAAATGTTCTAAAATAAATAAAGAGCTACTGCTCTCTAAGCAAACACAAGGTGGAGCTCGTGGAAAGGATAAAGATATTTAAAATTCATAGGGAGCCTGCTGGGTACAGTAAAAACTTTTTTGTTGTGTGTGAGATAACATTCCAAAGAGAAGGCTTGACATCTTTTCAAATAGGGAACCCACATTTCTTCTGGTTGCGCTTGTTTGTTTTTCTGCATATAGGTCTTGGAGAGCACTTGATGAAAAGAAGGACCAGGGGTGACATGATAGCAGTGTTCCAATATCTCAGAAGCTGCCACAGAGAAGAGGGAGTCAAGCTATTCTCCAAAGCACTTGAAGCAGAGGTGGCATTCAGCAGGTTCTGACCAGTTCTGGAGAACCGGTAGTGGAAATTTTGAGTAGTTCGGAGAACTGGCAAATCCCATCCCCACCTATTCTCTGCCTCCCGAGTCCCAGCTGATTGGCTGGGTCTTCTTTGGTTGCCCTGCCCAGGAGAACGGAGCTGGAAAGCAGGTTAGTGGGGTGGGGAGGGAATGGGGATTTTGCAGAAACTTTCCCCCAGGAGTGGGGAGGAAATGGGATTTGCTGTATATCCTTTCCCTGGAGTGGGGAGGGAATGGAGATCTTGCAGTATCCTTCCCCTGCCATGCCACCAAGCCATGCCCACCAAGCCACACCCACAGAACTGGTAGTAAAAATTTTTGAATCCCACCACTGACCTGAAGGCAGGACAAGAAGCAACTAATGGAAATGAATCAAGGAGAGAACTAACCTAGAACTAAGGAGGAATTTCCTCACAGAACAATTAATCAGTGGAACAATTTTCCTCCTGGAGTTGTGAATGCTCCAACACTGGAGGTTTTTAAGAAGAGATTGGATAACTAATTGTCTGAAGTGGTGTAGGGTTTCCTGCATAAGGGGGTTGGACTAGAAGACCCCCAAGGTCCCTTCCAACTCTGTTATTCTATTCTCCCTGACATTCTATCACTTATGAGGCTAAAAGACTGAGTAGACTGCAAAACAACAACCACAACAACAGTATCTGTAACACCATCCAGATCTGCCTATCCCAGGTCCTTGGTAAGGACTCGATAGGTAGACAAAAATGCCAAACCCAACCTGAACATCTGGCTGACTGCGATGAATAAAAAATAAAGTTATTTAGAACGCTTGTGGAGGCTGCTGCTGAAGACAGCTCAGAGTAATAAGGCTACCTTGACGTGAACACCAAAGCTACTGGAAATCAGAAACAACATTTGAAGAAATACAGATAGTCCTCGACTTACAACCATTCGTTTAGTGACCATTCAAAGTTACAACAACAGTTCTGAAAAAAGGGACGTGAGACCAGTTTTCACACTTAAAGACCATTGCAGCATTCCCCACGGTCACGTGATCAAAATTCGAGTGCTTGTCAATTGGCTCATATTTATGACCTTTGCTGTGTCCCGGGGTCATGTGATCCCTTTTTCTGCCCCTCTGGCAAGCAAAATCAATGGGGAAGCCGGATTCACGTGACAGCTGTGTAACTATGTTAAGAACTGCAGTGTTTCACTTAACAAATGTTTTGAGAAAAGTCATAAAATGACAAACTCATTTAACAAACTATCTTGCCCAGCAACCGAAATTTTGAGCTTAATTGTGGTTGTAAGTCAAGGTCTCTCTACATTCCTGTGCCGGAATGTTCTCCTGGGTTGCCCTTATCATAAAGCAAGCTTGTGCAGTGAATCTAGGATTTGTAATGCAAGCAACCAGAAATCCAGTGTGGGTCATTTTGTCCTCTTAGTAATCCGAGAATGACTTACCTGGCTGTTCTTGTGAACTGATGTATAAGTTATCTGAGCCTGAAGGAAGGATCTTCTGAGAGGTAGGATTTGTAGCGGAAGTAATTGGTTGGTTTTGGTTAATTAGCCAGCCAAAGGCATGTTCAAAGAGGATTAGAAGAATTTAGATTAGACAGATTAACAGAGTTGGAAGGGATCTTGTAGGTCATCTAGTCCAACCCCCGCCCAAGGAGGAGACCTACACCATTTCTTGAAAGCCTCCAGAAATGAAGCTCCCACAACTTCCGAAGGCAACTTCTGTTCCATTGATGGATTGTTCTCACTGTCAGAAAATTTCTCCTGATTTCCAGGTTGAATCTCTTATTGATCAGTCCTTATTGTTAGGGATAACATTGTTTACCCTAACTGGTTTGGGTAAAAATAATAAATAAGGTATCATGGTTTGTTAGTTAAAGTGTGTGTAACTTTAACAGCAAGAATGTAATTAAGGGTGTGGTTGTAAAAGCACTAAATAAGAAGCGAGGCAATTGCAGCTCTCTCTCTCTGGCTTACTGATCCCTAATTACTGGATGGATTGATGACTGCGTTCTTGCTGAAACGGGGAGAGAAAAAGGAGTGTTGATTTTTCTCAACGGAGAGAAGATAAAGATTGGACTGATTTATTGTAAGTGAACTGACATTGGCTATTCAACACGGACTTTGCAAATAGAGTATCCCCGACAAGACTTGACTGAAATTGATATATGACTAATGGACCGTTTATATTTGACTATGCTATAATTCTTAAATGGAATAAACTATATTTTTGATAGCACAAGCGTATCTGTATTTTTACTGCGTGTTAACTAGAAAACTTATCTCACACATTTACCTGTCTTCCTATCTGACTTCGCTGTACATTCTGTTTAGTTTGTTTTCCTTAACACCCGTTGGGGAATCCAGGCTTAACACTTATCATTTAAGTTGGGCAACCATATAAGTGCATAAGTAAATAAATAAAACTAGAACTTTACCAAACCACTCACATTACAAATTCCTAATGGAGCGCTGTCTACCTGCCCACTACCCAAACCTACCTTTAATAAGCATACTATTTTGTGTGTTTCAGTAATCTCTAGATCTTTAATTGATCTGGTTAAATGTAATGTATGGACACACAGCCAACCTTCAAAGTTCAAAGACCAGTTTGGTTTAGTGGTTAAGACAT